TTACAAATCCATGATTCTGGCCACTGCTCGAACCTTCCTTTCTGACAGACACCCCTTTCCATCTGACAGGTTCATCTTCAGATACCCTCAGTATAATAGTATCTGCCATACTCAGCCCAGTCAGTCAGTCCGTCAATCTGTTAGTTAGTCGTGTCCCTTTGGGCCCTCCCAAGTGTTTCTCCGCCTAATAACTGGTTGAAAGCCGATGTCATTACAGTATTGACAGCAAAACACAAAACTAAGAAATATAATACCTGAAATCAGGTGGATTAGGGGCCATATAATGGCCAGGGAAATTGCGAATACACGATACACATTTTAATACCAGGCCACCCAGTTTCCCTCCAGTCTATCAGGTTTGCGAAAATGAGATATAGCAATGAACAAACACATCTGGGCCCACACAAACAACTCGCCGGTTCCACACACCCACTCATGTCAGACCTCGGCTTCTTACTGATGTCACGAACGCAGCTTCTAAAACTCGCTTGTTCTCATCCCGGGAAACAATCCAATGCACGCGCGAAAGCCTAGCGGACAGACAGACGCGCTGGCAGTGAGACAGGAAAATATCAAAGAAAACGAAAATATACAGGGGCTATCATCACCACCGCTTTGCCCACCCATCTAATAGACCATTACTACCTGTAGCTTAGAGCAGATCCCGTCTGATGAACTCGTCGTACAGGGCCTTGCCCAAGCTGGCAGGCGACCGCTCGACAATGACACCAGCGCTCTCGAGGGCCTTGATCTTGGAGTCGGCGCCACCCTTGCCACCGGCAACAATGGCGCCGGCGTGGCCCATGCGGCGGCCGGGGGGCGCCGAGATGCCAGCAATAAACGAAACGACGGGCTTGCCGCCGTTGGCCGTGTTGTTGGCCTTGAGGAAATCAGCGGCCTCCTCCTCGGCTGAGCCGCCGATCTCGCCGATCATGATGATGCCGTCCGTCTCCTCGTCCTTGAGGAAGACCTTGAGGCAGTCGATGAAGTTAGTGCCGCTGAACGGGTCGCCGCCGATGCCGACAACGAGAGACTGACCCAAACCGGCCTGGGTGGTCTGATTGACGGCCTCGTAGGTGAGCGTGCCGGATCGGGAGACGATGCCGATGCGGCCGCGCTTGTGGATGAAGCCGGGCATGATGCCGATCTTGCACTGGCCGGGCGCGATGATACCGGGGCAGTTGGGGCCGACCAGGCGGGTCTTGGACTGCGACTTGAGCATCGAGGTGATGCGGACCATGTCTGTGTGGTTTCTTGTCAGAAAATAATGTTCCTGCTCCTATGTCATCTTCCACACTAACCATGCTGGGGAATGCCTTCCGTGATGCAGACAACGAGCGGGATCTCGGCGGCGATGGCTTCCTCAATACCGGCGGCGGCCACGGGGGGACTGTCGCATCCTGTTAGAACGAACCGAGCACGGACCGAAGTTTGGGGCGACCTACGGGACGAAGATGGCGGTGGCAGTGGCCCCGGTCTCCTTTACACCCTCAGAGACATTGGCAAAGACGGGGAGGCCAAGATGTGTCTGGCCTGCCTTTTTCGGGTTTGTTCCACCAACGACCTTTGTTCCTGTTATGTGTCAGATTCGGCATGGATTTCGATAGTCATCAGTCCCGTCGGAAGGAGTCAGAATTACCGTAGTCAATCGCTTGTTGCGCATGGAAGCTGGATACCGATAGGTGTTAGCTATGACACCATTCAGAGCTGCGTGCGATTACGCCACGTCGCGAATCGCGCACGGCGATAAGGGGCCCACCCAAGGCCAACTTACGTTCCCTGCTTTCCTGTAAAGCCCTGGTACAGAACCTTGGTCTCGCTATTGATGCGCAAGTTTTCGATCGTGGAAGCGTAGGGGGAGTTGTTGGAGCTGTAAGCTCTCCGGGACAGATTGCGGAGGAGGGCGGCCGACGAGCGGCTTTGTCTTGAGATAGCCTGCATCTTGGATGTGTGTATGTGACGAGCAAACCGGGAACAAAAGAAGGAAGGGCAGAAATCGATGGATGGCAGCCCAATTGGAAAGGAGAAGGATGTCGAGGCGTTTTTCGTCGATTGCTGTTTAGAGTCGCCGAGCTTCAAAGATGATCCGTCACTTCTCCAAACACACTGGAAAATGTCTCCAACACCAACACGGGCCAGCAAGACCGCAACGGGCTGGAGGTACGGCAAATCATGGGCAATTACGCCAATTGGCCGGGTCTTTCCGGCCGGTCGGACTGGGCTGGACCCTTGTGCCAAGCTGGCACCTGCAGGCGGCTACAAGGTTTTTCCACGACCGCTATAACAGCCCCCAGCACCTGCCAGGCAGATCGCTACAGTGGGCCACCTGCCGCCGGCAACTCGGCCAAGACATGCTGTGGCGCATCTTTGGATCACCCCGCCAAAAGTTGTTCCATCAATGTGACTGCACCAGGCAAGCCTCGAATAATTATCTACAAAGCTTCAGTGATAGTTGACTCGCGCCTCGTCAACGGCTGGCGTACTCCGCCCCTCTTCGATATACAGGAGCGCATATATCAAGAGGCAGAAAACATGGCAACGGCCACAGCTACGGTTACTGCGACTATTCGCAAGAAAGACGCAAATCTCCCACCAGAGAACGAACGTTTCCTCCGGTGCTGCGCAGATATTGCGAGCGCTCTGATTGAAGACCACGAGACCGCAAAAGACCCCTCCCGGCCGCAGCGAGACATAAACCTCAACAGCCTTCGGTCCAAGTTTGCAAAGAAGCACAAGATCGGAAATGTGCCCCCTCTAACAGCCATCATCGCCGCGGTGCCCGAGCACTACAAGAAGTACATCCTGCCGCGGCTCATCGCAAAGCCCATCAGAACATCGTCTGGTATCGCCGTGGTGGCCGTCATGTGCAAACCTCATCGGTGCCCACATATCGCGTACACCGGCAACATTTGCGTCTACTGCCCCGGTGGACCCGACTCGGACTTCGAATACAGCACACAGTCCTATACGGGCTATGAACCGACCTCCATGCGAGCCATCCGTGCGCGTTATGATCCCTTCGAGCAGGCCCGAGGCCGAGTTGACCAGCTCAAGTCTCTGGGACACTCCGTCGACAAGGTGGAATATATCATCATGGGCGGGACCTTTATGTCACTCCCGGAGTCCTACAGAGACGAATTCATATCGCAGCTACACAATGCGCTGAGCGGATACGGGACGTTGAACGTGGACGAGGCGGTACGGGGAGGCGAGCAGAGCAACATCAAATGCGTGGGGATCACGATAGAGACGAGGCCGGATTACTGTCTTCAGCCTCATCTGTCAAGCATGCTGCGGTACGGATGTACTCGGCTCGAGATCGGCGTCCAGTCCCTTTATGAGGATGTGGCTCGCGATACGAACCGGGGGCATACCGTGGCCTCGGTTGCCGAAACCTTTTGCCTGGCCAAGGACGCCGGCTTCAAGGTTGTCAGCCACATGATGCCTGATCTGCCCAACGTCGGCATGGAGCGTGATCTGGACCAGTTCAGAGAGTATTTCGAGAGCCCGGCTTTCCGCACAGACGGCCTGAAGATCTATCCCACGCTCGTTATTCGTGGAACCGGGCTGTACGAGCTCTGGCGGACGGGGAGGTATCAAAACTACACCCCCAATGGGCTCATTGATCTCGTGGCACGGATATTGGCTCTCGTGCCGCCCTGGACGAGAATCTACCGAGTGCAACGCGACATCCCCATGCCTCTGGTCACATCTGGTGTCGAGAACGGTAACTTGCGTGAGCTTGCTCTGGCCCGGATGAAGGATTTTGGTACTACCTGCCGAGACGTGCGCACGCGCGAGGTGGGCGTGAACGAGGTCAAGCACAAGATCAGACCGAACCAGATCGAGCTGGTCCGTCGCGACTACACGGCCAACGGGGGCTGGGAGACCTTTTTGGCCTATGAGGATCCGAAGCAGGATATCTTGGTGGCCTTGCTACGACTCCGGAAGTGCTCCGAGAAGTACACGTTCCGGGAAGAGCTGGTGGGACAGCCGACGAGTCTGGTGCGCGAACTACATGTCTACGGCATGGCGGTCCCCGTGCACGCCAGAGATCCCAGAAAGTTTCAGCATCAGGGATTTGGCACGCTGCTGATGGAGGAGGCGGAGAGGATCGCCAGGGATGAGCACGGGAGTGAGAAGATTAGTGTCATTTCTGGCGTCGGTGTGCGCAGTTACTACAAGAAGCTGGGATACTGGCTTGATGGACCGTATATGAGCAAATGGCTGGACGGTAGACCTGGGCCTGAGGAATAAACGGGGGATGGGTTTGATCGGGAACATTTACAAGGTGTGGCGTTTTTTGGATCTAGAGTGCTTATAAAGGACATGTGGAATGAAGCGCATAACCTGGAAAGGCGTTGGTGGGATTATAAAGGTTGATTGGCGCATAAAAGTTGATGTAGAAAGAATGGTAGCACCTCAGATTGACTGATCCAATTACCCCTTTTCGGAAATCGGGTCTAAACCGTCAAGGTCAATTTGTAACTCCTCTGGCACGTAATCAGATAGTTCTTATGGAGTTTGGCTTCGTTCCAATACATTCTTATGGTTATGGAATCTGTTGCAACCGGATTTTAAACGGAGTGCTGAACTGCCGACGTGGTTGCTGTGGTTTGTTTACTTGGTCCACAATACCCCTTATTTACCTCTGAATGGTCAACAAACCTGGATGCTTTTGTCCTTTACCCAAGCTAGGTCACATCATATCTCATCCTCTCATCTGCCCAGTCGCAAAATTATTTCACAACACGCACGTTTCTTTAACTCAAAACGTTGGATTTTGGGTGTTCTGCATCTCGTGGCTGGATGGAAGTTATCCGTCATCTACCGTCGAGGCTACTGAGCAAAAGAACCCACAACCAATCGGGAAACAAATTCCGCCACTTCTCTCCACTTTCTCGTCCGTCCATTCTTACATATACCTTGTTTCTGACCACCAACTTCATCCTCAGTTCTCCACATCCTCAACAAGGATGTGCGAGCGAGTCAGTCAGTCAGGGTACATGGTCTAGTGGTATGATTTTCGCTTCGCATGGTTTCTCCTCCACAGGACAGCTGGCGCATCTGTGAAAGGTCCCCGGTTCAATCCCGGGTGTATCCATCCTTTTGATTTTCCGTTCCTTGCTCGCATGAAAGTGATCTGGGGTTTGTGTTTTTTTTTTTTTTGGCAGTGAGTAGTGGTCATGGTGAGAGTCAGTTTGTTGTGGATGTCAATCACTCTTACGCCGTTGTAGGCTTAGAAGTGTCGTGGTAGTAGATCTGCACTGTTGAGTTAATTTGCGTATACAAGGGAAATCATTGATTGTCTTTTTTCTTGGAAATATTCAATGTCAAATTCATTTCTCATAGACTCGCAGACTTAGAGCGGTAGCGATGATGAGGGTTTGTCTAGAAACAATTGTTTTATATCATTTCTTTCGTAAACCATAAACGGAGGAAAGAAGACAAGGGACGGAGCGGAAGGGAGGAGAAGGAGAAGATAAAGGCGCGACATCGTAGATTCAAGACTGGACTAGCAGTCCTGTTTTCTGTGGTCTTGACACCAGATCGGAACTAGAAAAAGATTGGGATTCCGTGGCTGGTGCGGTGAATTGGCATACGATCTGTCGGTGCTGGTGTGGAAACTGTAAGTTATCGAGCTCACTTTTCATTTTTCTACTGATGTGCTGCAAAAAGAGACTGATATTGGTTGTGCAGAAACGGTACAAGGAGCGTATCAAGGAGCCGGCCAGTTCGGCTGCATAAAGAATGACGTAGAACTTGGAGGTGCTCGCATATTTAGCAGCGGTTTCCAAAACCGCATATGTTGTCCCAGTATCAATCCAGATCGACCTTGACAGCAATCATATTCCTGGACAAGAACCCCGTCACGAATAGCCATGCCTTCCTCTTCCCCTGGTCCTCGGTACCCATAGTGTCCTTCGGATCAATGGCCACCAGCACCGCGGCACTTGCGCTGCGAATCGTGCTTCCGTCGTCGGCAAACAAGAGCCGTTTGTGATAGCGAGGCTTGTTGGACTCCATGTTGATTCGGGTGTACCAAACCATGATGGGATCTTTGGCCAATAGCGACGGGTCGCGTGAGGTCTGGGCGAGGGTGACTGCCCGTGACAGGCCCGGGAGGACATATCCACTTCGATCGTCTTTGTGACCAGGCCTGGTCCCGTACGGGTCCGTGAAGTAACTGGGGTTATCGATGACCGAGTCGACTTGGATCTGGTTTTCGAGTAATTCGATTTTTCTGGTTTCCCTTTCAGGCGAGGGCGTGACGAAGCCCATGTGCAGTACACCGGCTGAGCAGCTTGAGACTAACACCTGCACATCACCGCTCGCTGCGGTCCAGCCACGTCCCAGACCATTGCTGTTGTGCATGTGTGGAACGGCTATTACAGCGTCCACGTCTGCTTTTGCGTCCGTACCTTTGTACTCGTCCAGGGGCTTCAGCCGGAGGTGGATCACGTCTGTCCACTTCGCCTCAAAGTAAGCGTCCTCTAGAAGGCGCATGATTCCGTGATCGGCGTAGCGGTGGTCGTTTGTCACGTAGATCGAAGTCGGACTGATGGCGAGGATGTCGTTTGGTGTCCGGAGTAGCGGGTGCCAGATGGAGCGGATATGTCTGACGGTTGAAGTTCCAATGACATGGTGAAGGACCTCGATTTGGGAGCGGGACTTTGGGTGCGCTGTCGACCACTGATTTTCCGTTGCGTGGTACTCTAGATTGGGGACGTGGTTTATCGCAAAGATGTACACTGCCTCGCCCTCTGGCCACTTGGGATCCGAAATGACATCGATTCCGTGAGTGACGAAAGTATGATCAAAGTTTTCAAATTCGAGTCGTCGAGACTTCATGGTCTGGGGAAATCCGGTTAGTTCTCTGATTTGGTCAGGGATAGCATTCGGGGAGACTGACCTTTGGGTTGATGATGTGGATCGAGCCTCTGCTCTTTGCGCCCAGTTCCGGATCGTCGAAATTTGCCAGTGGAGGAAACCACTTGAACCTGGTCTCGGCATTGTCCTCGCAGGCAGTGAAGAGGGTAGAACTCGGGGAGTGATAATGGAGGTCTTCACAATGTGTGGTGTCGGTGATGGTTACGATATCCGAGTCGTCGACATGGAAGCCGGCGACTTGGGCAGATCGTAAGACTCCCAGCACAGTCAAGGTCCTATATGCGAATTCTCCCCACGAGTAGGCCACCAAGGCTAGCAGAGCCCCGGCCAGCGACGTCACCAACAGTGACGAGGTTCTCATGACAGGAGGAGCTCCCTGAGATCTGAGCGTGCTGGAGCTTCTAGTGGTGATGGAGAGAGTATATGACCTCGTTGAATTCCTGGCCACGCGTTATTATGTCGACAAAGTCTTTGATGTATGTAGATGGCAACTGGCCATAATAATGCCTCGGCAGGGGATGTGCATTGCGAGTGGGGTTAGAGTATCCGAATAATCCGTACATGGAACTAGTTCTGGCAAAGGCGGGGAGGAATGAAGCCGATCGCTAGCTACTACGTGTAGTTTGCTTAAGGCACGACGGGAATGGTTAGCCGCGTTTTGCGAGACGCGTTGCACCCTTGATGGAAGTCGACGAAAGGTGATGTCATTGAGTTTAGTTTCGAGCTTGTGCGATCCAGCAAAGCCGGCGGCTCAGAACAAGAGGAGCCAACTCATCTCATAAGGATCTGCCCACGCACGCATTCATCTGTGGCTCGGTCGGAGCTTGTGCCACCTGCTAGAACTGTCGGCTCGGATCCGATTCTAGAAGTTAATGTAGTTGAATTAATAAGAGTTCAACGTTCTGACAGTCACGTGCGTCGACGATGCAAGGGCTTGAGCGAGACCTGGGAGTGGTCAGTGGTGTGGTGTGTAACCCGACCGGCACCCAGACCCGTCCATTGTCTGTCCCGGCTCACATCCCGCGAATTAGATCAAGCACCACTTTCTGGTTATCTAATCGACAGGCCTGTTCTACCGACGCTCCTGTCCTCCTAAACACCGATAATCGCGCCATCACCAAGTACAAAAGACCCGTCGTATTACCGATACAATACGCAGAACCGAGTGTCGTGACTCATCCGACCAGGCTCCAATGGCGCTTTACTGCCTACCTTCTATCGTCGTCTTTTCAGTTTCATTTTGACATGACAGAGTCCGATTGTATCCAAGGGCCAAATTGCCTGCCTGATTCTGTATCTTCCGTAAACAGATACGAATAACCTCAGGACAGCTGATGTGATAGCTAAGGTACCTTACCTTAATACGCCAAGCTATTTGCCCCTCCCTCCACCTACCAAGATGGGCAAGATTCAAACATGGAATACCACTCCCTAATCTGTACTCGCGTTTCTGATATGGTCACGATAAGCGTTCACTCAGCCCTATAGGTCACACCAATCTGGAGCACGGCGGTCAACAAGGTAACATTCGGTCCATCTCAGCTCGTTGCAAGCATGGGTCCAGACTCCAAGGGTCCGTGTTCAGCCCTACATCGGGCTACTTTGGTCAGGCAATTTGGCTGGACCCGGGCTCACCGATCGCCGAAAGGTTGCATGCTGTTGCACTCTTGACTCGGAACCCTTATTGGCAGTGGCATGGCATGGCGCTTTGCCCGGAATCTGCCCAGAGAGAAATATTGATCGGTCGACCGACTGACGGCTGGCTGACCCCGAGACATCACATATCTCCTCTACAGTCAGACGGCCAATCTGTCGACACCATAGCCGAGGAGGGGTGCATCTGGCCGTCGATGTTGCAACATGCTCGCCATACTTAAAGGCTCAAGTCCGCCCTGAAAGGCGCGGCGGTGCAGAAGACAACGCCCTCCCTCTAAATACAATTCCTCAAAATCAGCTACTTCAAATCATGGCCGGTCCTCGCTTCCCCATTGCCGGCCCATCTGTAGCCGACAAGGCAATCCATTTTGTTGACAACCTTCTGCACAAGGCATTGGACCCGAACCTGCCCATGCCCACATCGCGGCAGGCAGCCGGCCGTCCAGACCAGAGCACCATCCTCAAACACATCCCCGAGAGGGAGTTTCTGGCACAGATTGCGCCCAAGGATGTTGCAAATGCCCCTCTGCCGTCCTTTGATCCTGGCGTCTTCGACAACGAGCTACTGAAGCTGAAGCTATATCCTACCATAGACCCCGACAACCCAAACGTGGTCAAGGAGCCCGAAGGCAACATAAAGCAGGGTACCTATGTGGGAACACAAGTTGCTCTGACCCAAGCCTACTCAAGGATCGAGCAAACGTGAGTGTCACGTTCATGGTTTTGTACTGTCCAACAAGCACTGCCGCTCACGCTCTGTTGCCAGCTTTGCCTCACTCTTTGACGTCCTTGGCATTGAGCCAACACTTCCCCGGTACACCCCCCTCGAAGAGCAGAGAAAGCTGTACCACTTCTCCTCATACCCCAAGAACCCTGACGGGACACTTGCCGACTATCCGCCGCATCTCCAGACGATTCCACCGGACCAGAGCTTTACCCCGTTCGGCATCTTCAACGCGATTGGCTTGATCCAGACACAGGTGATCTTGCAGAAGCTTACTCCCGACGAGGATGGATTCCTCGGGCGCACCAAGAAGTGGTTGCTCGAAAAAGAACGGGCTGCCGCATTTGGTGGCGATCCGGAGAAGGGACTCAAGATCCAGGATGTGGTCGAGTATAACAAGTATCACCGCAAGTTTGGCACCGACATCTCCAGCGGAGGCAACATTGGCTTGCTGGAGGACTGGTACAGCGATCGTCGCTTTGCCGACCAGCAGTTCACCGGCACGAACCCGGCCACTATCACGCGGGCGTCCACAACGTGGATCGACGCCTTCTCCATCGCGGCAAAGACCGGCGGCTACGACAAGTGGGTGACGGCCCTCGGCAAGGCAGATCCCGCATCACTGTTCTTGCAGGACGGCAGCTACTTCCGCAAGGCATGTGGCGTGTCAGACCCGGCGGCGGTTCTTCACAACAAGCAGCCCGGCAGTGACGACAACTGGGCCGTGGGCGCCGTGAGTCTCTTCCAGCTCTACGAGGACGGGAAGCTGCACCCGGTCGCCATCTGCGTCGACCACAAGGGCTCGATGGAAAAGTCGGTCACGATTTTCAACA